TGAGCTAACATGACTGGAAGAGGAGGAATTCTGGGAGTTGAAGTCCCCCAAGTCTTAAAAGCTGTCAAGTTTGAAGGCCCCTGATCTACAGTATCTTCTATCTCCATCTCTTCCTACCTACCGAATCTGTCTGTCCGTCTGTCTATCTAATCCAAGGGTCTTCAAACTTGGCAAGTTTAAGACTTGGGGGACTTCAACTCCCAGAATCCCTGAGCTACCATGACTGGAAGAGGAGGAATCCTGGGAGTTGAAGTCCACAAGTCTTAAAAGCTGTCAAGTTTGAAGACCCCTGATCTACAGTATCTTCTATCTCCATCTCTTCCTATCTACCGAATCTGTCTGTCCGTCTGTCTATCTAATCCAAGGGTCTTCAAACTTGGCAAGTTTAAGACTTGGGGGACTTCAACTTCCAGAATCCCTGAGCTACCATGACAGGAAGAGGAGGAATTCTGGGAGTTGAAGTCCACAAGTCTTAAACTTGCCAAGTTTGGGGACCCGTCGGGCCTTAAACCCCTGGTTTTATTTCGAGTCTTCCAAATAAACTTTCCTAGGTATCCTCATCGGGGACGGCTTGTGCTCCGTGAATAGCTAGGGGGGGCAGCCCCACGGCATCGAGGGCCAGGCCCCACGGAGGCAACCCAAATCTTTAGGCCGGCCTCAAAAGTGTTTTTACCCCAGAACAGAGTCTGCAAAAAAAAAAAAAAACAGACGGCAGAACGGGTGCAAACCATATCTCACCCCCTCCTCAAAATAACGCCCCCCCTGCGTCGTGACAAGGTTTTGATGCTTTTTCTGGAGAGGATTGCCCCGGGGGTGGGCCAGAAGGAGAAGGAGGGGAAGGATTTGGGGTCGGGGGAGATTTAGAAAAATGGAGGCTGGGAAGACCCCCCCCCCACTTACACACACACACACACATATGGGGATGAGTCTCTCTCTCTCTCTCTCCCTCCCAAGCCTCCATCTTTCTTTTCTATGGACTTCTTTTTTAAAGAAGGACAAGAAAGATCCAGAGGGAGGACCAATCGAACCACGGAGAGGGCAGGTGGGGGAAAGGACCCCATTCTGAGGCCCCCTCCTCCGTTTGCAACAAAGGCTTGTCAGTTTCATGCAGGAAGGAAGGAAGAAACGTGCTGCTGAACTCCGAGCCTTGCGCGTTAACTCCGTGAGGCGTCCTGTGGCTGCCAGGAGAGTTCGCCCCTCGAACCTTATTATCCCGCCAAAAACCCACGGCCGAAGGATAAGTGAGAGGCCGCTAATTCCCCACCACCCTGTCAACTTATTTACTGCTATTACTGTTCTTCTCATCCTTCCAAGGACTCACTGGATCTCTTCCCGCTTCTGACAACAGCCATGTTGCTTGCTATCTTTACAATTTATATCGCTTTATTTGTTCCCTAGTATGGCTTGATTGCTTATTAGTGTCCTGTGACTATCACTAAGTGTTGTATCTTATGATTCTTGATGAATGTATTTTATTTTTCCTGTATGTACGCTGAGAGCTTATGCACCAAAGACAAATTCCTTGTGTGTCCAATCACACTTGGCCAATAAAGAATTCTATGCTATGCTATGCTATGCTATGCTATTTCTAATTCTCTTCTCTTCTTTTCTCTTCTATATTCTCCTCTACATTCTATTCTATTCTATTCTATATTCTCCTCTACATTCTATTCTATTCTATTCTATTCTATTCTATTCTATTTTCTCCTCTACATTCTATTCTATTCTATTCTATTCTATTCTATTCTATTCTATTCTATTCTATTTTCTCCTCTATATTCTATTCTATTCTATTCTATTCTATTCTATATTCTCCTCTACATTCTATTCTATTCTATATTCTCTTCTGTTCTATTCTATTCTATATTCTCCTCTACATTCTATTCTATTCTATATTCTCTTCTGTTCTATTCTACTCTCTACTGTACTCTACCCTACCCTTTCCAGTTCCTATTCCTATTCTTTTCTATCCTATTCTTTTCTATCCTATCCTATCCTATTCCTATCCTATCCTCTTTTCCTCCTCCTCCTCCTCCTCCTCCTCCTCCTCCTCCTCCTTTTCCTCATTCTATTCTATTCTTATTCTATTCTATTCTTATTCTATTCCAATTCCTATTCTTATTCCTGTTCCGTTCTATTCTATAAAGGAGAGACCTTGAAACCATCTCAAAGGATGGGAAATCCGTCCTTCCCTTGCTGGGAGGGGGCGGGGGAGGGGGGCACTTCAAGGGCTCAGAAATAACAACACCCCCCCCCGCCCCAAATAGAGCCCAACCCCCAATTCATGCATGCGTCGGAGGTCTGCCTTAAAAGGGGTCAGCAGGCCAGCATCCTTGGGATCCCAGCTTAACCTGAGATGCGGAGGAGGAGGGACGAAAGCTTCCTGTCAGACAGAGGAGGTTCCAAGGCAGCCCCCTCCCCCCCCGTCCCCCCACTCAGAAAAAAAGAAAGGCTAAAAGTACAAACAGGCCCAGAGCATCCTCTTCCTTTCAAATGCAAACAGTTGTAATCATCGCCAACCAAGCTGGCAGAAAGAGAGAGGCCTTCCCAACAATTTTCCCAAGCTTAGGAAAAATGCCCTGAGGGGGAAGGCGAGAAGGCATGCAATGGGGCAGGAAACTGGATGGGGGGCGGGGGAGGGAAGATTAAAAAGAAAGAAAGAAAGAAAGAAAGAAAGAAAGAAAGAAAGAAAGAAAGAAAGAAAGAAAGAAAGAAAGAAAGAAAGAAAGAAAGGAGAGAGGAGAAAGAAAGAAAGAAAGAAAGAAAGAAAGAAAGAAAGAAAGAAAGAAAGAAAGAAAGAAAGAAAGAAAGAAAGAAAGAAAGAAAGATAGGAGAGAGGAGAAAGAAAGAAAGAAAGAAAGAAAGAAGAGAGAAAGAAAGAAAGAAAAGAAAGAAAGAAAGAAAGAAAGAAAGAAAGAAAGAGAGAGAGAGAGAAGAAGAAGAATGAGGAAATAGTCCAGCCACCTCTTCGATGGTTCCTATGCCTATCGCGCTGCCTCGGCGTCCGTACCTACTTGACGTTTTTCCGGGCACAAGCAATGACTGGCAAGCGGGCAGAGCATGAAAAGGGGGGGGGCAGAGGACAGAGGGAGGAGAAAGGAGGGGAGGACAAAGGAGGAGGCAGGGAGAGAAAGAAAGAGAGAGAGAGAGAGAGAAAAAAAGAAGTCATGCGAACAAAATGGCGCTCAGTCATTATCCACCAAAGAGCCCACAAGCCTCCCCTGAACGGGCCAAGGCAGCCGGCGGGCGTGGAGGGGCCACGAGAAGGCAGAGGAAGCTGCTGGGGGGCGGGTGGGGGGGTGTCTGGGATGGGATGAGGGGTGGGTGGGTGGGGGGAAAGCTGAGAGATGTATGCCTGGGGAAGCGATGCCCAAGTGGAGGCTCTGCCACGCTCGCTGCCCCCTCTGGTCACAGCAGCCCCGATGATCCCTGGCACCCACCGGGTGGCCTCGACCCCAGCAATGCTGCAGTCTGGGGGGAGGAGGAGGCGGGGGGAGGGGAGGAGACGCCCCCCCCCTTTATAAACTGGGGACGGAGGATGCTCAATGCCCCCCACCCCCCAGCCATGAGGAAGGGAATGGGGCCCCCAGCAGGGCAGGGTGGGCTTCAGCCCACAAGACCACCCCTCTCCCTTTCCAAGCCCTGCCCAACCAAGGGTCCCCCGCCCGCCCCCTAGGCGGCCAACTCTCTCCCTTTCGGGCAAGGCGCCTCTGCTGGGGCAAGGCTGCCACCTAGTGGCCACTCTGGGGCACTGCATCCCAAAGCAAACCCTCAAACTTCCCGCGCCGCCCCGCCGCTTATCCAACGCCATCCCCACTGCGGTGGCGGGCCAAGCGAAGGTGAAGGTTGCCCCCAGAAGGCCCTAAAGGATTGGGGAGGGGCTGGGAAGGGGGGTGGGCAGCAGCCCCCGAAGGGACTGGGGCAGAGAGGCCGGGAGCGGAGGCGGGAGAGGGGGGGCACTCACTAGGCCCGTGGCTTTGGCGATGTCAGGGCTGTGGTGCCCAAAGCTGCCGCTGTGGCTGGTGGTGACGGTGTTTTGCCGCTTGCTGCTGAGGCCCATGGCGTCCATCGACTGGCTGCGGCTGCGGATCACCCGCTGGAAGGGAAGGCCGGCCCACCCTGAGTCACCCCGTGCCCCTCCCTGGGACTCCCCACCCCCCACCCCCGCCCCTGAGGACTTTGGCGGTGTGACCGGTCTGGAGATGCCAGGAAGCCCATGGCTTGTTGGCGGGGGGGGGTTGCTCCCACCAACAGAGGGGCTGCAAAGAGGGCAAAGGGAGGGAGACGGGGGAGGGCGGGGGGGGAGGGCGAAGGGCTGGAGCGGGGCGGCCGAAGGGGAGATCGAGGCGCGACACTCGCAAGAATGACCTCCGCCCCCACCCCCCAGCATCTCCGGCTTCCCCGTTGGACCCCTCCTCACCTTGAACGATTCGAAGAAGCTGCTGCTGCCCCCTCCGCCGTTCTCCATCTTGTCCTCCTCGGCCCCCAGACCCATCATGGACTGGCTGTTGAGGTGCAGCTCCTCGTAGAGGGTCTCCAGCAGAGCCGCCCGCGTGCGCTCCTGTCAGGACAACAGGGGGGGGGAGAGCCCCCACCCCCTTGAGACGGCTGCAGAGCCTGAGGGAGGGGTCCAGACAGCTGCTCCT